CTTTCCTGCCATGCAGGGGGTCGGACTCGATGATCTATTGAGGTCCCTTCCGACCCTAACATCTATGAATCTATAATACTTCTGTTACTTTAAGGGAAAACCTGTAGGAGACAGGGGGCAGGATAAAGGTCAGCTGCAAAGGAGTAGGCAGCAAGAAAGCACTATATTCCCTAGGCAGAGAGCTGCAAGTTAAGGAGAAGGGGATCATCTTCAGCTGGTTAAGGGAGCATTGCTCAGAGCAAGGTGGCTGCAGGAAGGTAGGCAATTAGATGTCAAGGCTAGAAGTGCTTAGTGTAGGGGTAGCTCTGCTACCATGAGACAGGAGGGTAGAGTCTAGGCAGGCAACAAGGAAGCAGTGGTAGCAATAAATGTAAGCTCCCTTGTAAACTGGATGGCAGGTCCTGATGAGCAATCCCTGCAAAGAGTGAAGAGTCCCTGATGTGCAGGGGTGGGGCTTAGGGAATATAAAGGCCCAGGGCTTGAGCTAGGGGTCAGTTTGGCCTTCCAGGCAGCCAGGGAAGTAGCTCAGCTCTGAAGGGTGGAATAGTTGCCCAAGAGGGGTGAGATCCAGGGTCAGGGACCCATAGCCCAGAGGGGTAGCACTACAGCCTGAGGGGCAAGAACTGGGGCCATAGGCCTGTAGCCAAAAGGGGCCAAGTATAAACTGGACCAGGGAGCCCACAGCCCAAGGGGCAAGAACTGGGGCCAGGGGCCCCTAGTCCATTAGGCAATAGTACAACAGGAGAGTAACCTGGGCAAATAGCAAGAGAATAACTGTGGTGCCAGCTCTGCTGCCACAGGCCATCCTGCAGGCTTCCCAGGGAGTCACATGTCCGGAAGGGGGCAGGGCTCTGGGGCATATAAAGTCTGGCCCTGGAAGCTGAAGTTAAAGGAGCTCTGCAGGGAGCTGGCTGCTGATGAATGACTGTGAGCGTGCTTTGCCTGGAGACAGCAAATGAAGGGCCTGGGGGACTAGCATTGACTAGGGCCCAAGGCTGGGTAGGACTTTTGGTATCCAGCCAGGGGTCTAAAGGTTTAGTTATAGCCAGTGTGCTTATGTGTTGTGTTTCGAGTTTTTGAGTTGTGGTTTGGGTGGGACTACAAAGGGGTGAGAGGAGATCCCAGTGGTGCCCAAGGGGCATAGGGCTGTCTTGAGGCCTGCCAGATGGCAGCAAGAGAGAGAGGGAAATAAAAGCCTGGGAGAGGCAAGTGAGGGACAGAAATAGGGTTAGTGAGCCCTTAGCCCAGAGAGGGGTGGAGCTTGGGGCTGGGGGGGCACAGCCCAGAAATAGCAGAGATTGGGGCCAGAGGGTCCATGAGTTCAAGAGAGGCAGAAACAAGGCTAGAGAGCCCACAGCCCAGAAGGGAGCAGAGATTTGGGCCAGAGGCCCAACAGCAGGCGCAGAGCAGAGATAAGAGCCCAAGAAGGTGAGATAAGGGATGGAACCCATTTGGAGACTGATTAGCCCTTAAGGTGATGAGCAGTGATACCAGTGCTTATGAGTGAGATCTTGTTTGGGGAGCCCTAGGGCAGCCTCTTTTTTTCTAAAGACATGATATCATTGTGGCATGGCAGGGGAGATGAAGGGTAAATTGCCCAAAGGAAGCAGAGAGGACAAGGACTGAGAGGGTACTCCAGGGGCATTATGGCCACCCCTGGGGTAAGACCCTGTTACAGTTAGCCATATCTGGGAACAGGACATCTAATGGGATGGTCTAGACTAGAGCTCTGAGGTGAGGTAGGGAGTCCTTACTCTTAGATGCTTGGTTGATATGAGCTCACTTCCTCAGGGTTAAACATAAAGATTTTTCACTTGGGTCAGACTGGTGAAGCTTGGGATCATCCAGGTATATCTTATCTAATTAATTCTCTGCCCCTGCAAGGAAATTAAACATTGGATGGCACTTTGGTCTCTCCTGTTCTCTGTTCAACGCACAAAAGAGGTTAACCCCCTGAGAACTGAAGTGCTTGAATCAAACACAAGTTATTGGGTTCAGTGAAAGAGTAACTGGAAAAAATGTAGTGGAGCATTGTCCGGGAAGATTAGCGTAATTCAGCCTAGTACCTAGAG